CCACTTAGAAATATCCAGCCTTAAATAAAAACCTGCCCTGAATAACTTTTTTGTTTTGAATAACACTTTATAAAAATCACAATTTAACCGCGAACATAAAACTAAAATTAGTTTACGTGAAAAAAATACTAAAACCACGATTTTACAGCCACGTCAAAATTTTAAGTATAAGCTGTGAATATGGAAATTTTTTTTTATTTTTTTGAAAATGATAAAACTGAGAGAGATAATAATATTCGTAATTTATTTTTAGAAATGCACATGTTACCTACCAGTTCTAGTATTATTTTAAAAACGGGTTGCAATTAAGTAAAATGACACTACTATAATTTAGATTATTATTGCTTTGTGACTAAAGGTAAAATAAATTAAATTGATATCATTAAGTTATTTAAACAATGAATTTTTTTTTAATAATGTTTTTCAACTTCATTAAATTTTGTTATAATTTTAGTTTTTTTTTTTTTTAAGGAGAATTCTAATTTAACGCGATTCTTTGTTTTTTAAATTATAACTGTAAATTTAATTATGTCAAATTTCTCATCGCAGAAAAATTTTACGATAAATACACCGCCGCGTAATTTATTTTTAATTTGAGCTTAAAGTTTTTAATTAATTTTATAAAATTGTTTTAGAATCTGCTTTATTTGAATATGGCACAAACAGAGTCTGGTTTATCAGTCTTAGATTGGAGTGATATTGAAATTAGTGAATGGCTCGATAGTATTGGTTTCATTGAATATTCAGATTTATTTAATGAACATTCCATTGATGGATCCACATTTATTGTTCATGACAGAAAATGATTTAAGAAATCCTCCACTAAGTATAAAGGTTTGTTAATTTGATTATTATTTTAATAAAATTAATTTAAATTCGAATAGCTTGAGTTTAATAAAATTTTGGTATCATGGAAACTTAGTTTTAAATTGATTTTATTGTATTCCTTAATTGAGTTTTGTTTGTGATAATTAACTAATTAAAATTTTTTATTTCAGAGATTAGGTGATATAAAAAAGATTTACCTATGAAATTCATATATTACAACTGGAAAATATTTCAGTTATTGCAAAACTTGGATATGATCCCTATTGTATTATTAATAATGTTCCTTCCGATGTTCGTCCTGAAAAAGGTCCTTACTACTATCCTACAGAACATGTAACTGCAGATATTTATCCATTGGGAATGGCAATTGATGATAGGACAGGAAGTTCTAGAAAATCAGAGAAGCTTAAACCAGAAGTATGGAAAACTGTAATAAGTCTTTGTAAGTTTTTTGTAAGTTAATTTTAAATAAAAAAAAAAATATATGTAGTTTAGTAAATGTTTTATTATTGTGTCTCGATTTTTTTTTTTTATAAAAAAAAAATAAAATTATATTGAGGTCACTTATTTTTTCTTTATTTAAAGGTTTAAGATAAGAGTTACTGTATTACTCACATTTTTTTTACAGGCTCAAATAGCAAGTTCAAAGTTTAATTTAAAAAAAATTTTTTTTTTTTTTTTTTTCATAGTATACCTATTTATAGTGACATGGATAACTGCTTTCGTCATGGTTATAGTTCATAATAGAGTACCAGATATGAAAAAGTACCCTCCTTTACCAGATATTTTTTTAGATAATGTTCCTCATATACCGTGGGCTTTTGCCATGTGTGAATTTACGGGTACTCTTTTGTTAATAATCTGGGTAGCAGTACTTATTTTTCACAAACACAGGTAATAAATTTATATATATATATATATTTACAATTTTGTTATGAAAGTGGTAACATGAAAAACTTATTTGTTTAAGGTTTATACTGCTTCGCAGATTTTTCGCACTGAGTGGTACTGTCTTCCTTTTACGTTGTGTCACCATGTTAATAACATCATTATCTGTACCAGGAACGCATTTGCAGTGTAATCCTATGGTAGAAGAACTTCAGTTAGATAATGGTTCATATGATAGTGTTTGGATTAAAGCTAGACACGCTTATTTTATATGGAGAGGTGCTGGAATGTCAATTCAAGGGGTTAGAACATGCGGAGATTACATGTTTAGTGGTCATACTGCTGCTTTAACCATATTAAATTTTTTTATAACAGAATGTAAGTTTTTGTTTAAACATTAAATTTAATTTATTTGATGTAATATTAAATTCAATGATTTTCTTTAATTTTTCTAGACACTCCGCGAAATTTGTATTTCATGCATACATTTTCTTGGATTTTAAACATGTTTGGTATATTTTTCATATTGTCCGCTCACGAGCATTATTCTATTGATGTTTTTATAGCTTTTTATATAACATCAAGGCTATTTTTATATTATCATACATTGGCCAATAATCAAGCTTTGATGCAAAGAGATTCTAACAGAACGAGGATTTGGTTTCCACTGTTTAGTTTTTTCGAATCCGAGGTGAAAAATAATATTCACAGTCTCATTCATTTTAATCGATAAATTAATTTTATTGTATAAAATAAAATAAAAAATAAATTTGTAATAAATTTTTTTTTTTTAAGGTTGATGGAATTGTGCCAAATGAATTTGATACTTTGGGGACGTTAGCTCAAAATTTAATTCGATGGGCTAAAACGCACTGGAGAGTTTGGTACGGGTTATCAATGAGAAGAGAAATAAGTCCACTGCCAGAAAAATCACACAATTCAGATAATATGCAAAAACAATATTTTAGATTTAGGCACAAGAAAGAATCTTAGCAACAATTTATTGTTTTTAAGATTCAGGCGGCTGTATCCAAAGTTAAAATTATTTGCTTTTGATATTATTTCTGCTATTATTAAAAAAAAAAAAAAAAAGAAAATTATGTTAACTATTTATAAATAAATAAATAAATAAATTGAATTGTGATAATATTGAAAAATAATTTTTTTTTTTTTTTTTTTTTTATTAAAAGCAAATAATTTTTTTTATAAAATTTTTAAAAATATTTATTTATAAATTTTATATGTAAAGATTTTTTATTATATCTGAATTATATAATTTTTTTTGAACTTCAATTATTATTCATTACATTAAATGCAAAACCTGATTAATTACAATCAGAAAAGTACAACAATAAATATTATATATATATATATATATTTATATAACTTATATTATTCCCAATAATTATTAATTCTCTCCATGTTAATTTTTTTTTTTTTTTTTTTTGTCAGTTAATAATAGAAAATTTAATTGTAAAGTAAATTTTTTTTTTTGACTTGTCTAAAACTTAAAAATAATTATTGTTGCAATAAATTACAAAAATTATCATCTTCCATGTAGTTTAATCTGTTTATGACACTGAAATATTTTTTAACCAAAATATATATATAATTATTTCAACTCCATTTTTTCTTCATCTTCGCTTAATTTCGGTTCGGAATCTACCTCATCTTTAGTTTCTTTTAATTTAAGTTTAAATTCTTCTTCTTCTTTTTCATCTCGACAAACATCTTTAAAATAAGGAGCTAAAAGAAAGAAAGAAAGAAAGAAAAAAAAAAATGAACATTACAAAAAAGTTTTGTAATGTTTTTGGGTAATGTTTTTGATAATTTAGCTTACATGTAGGATCGACGATTAGACCAAAAACACGTTCCCTCGGCATATCCTCGGTTAATTTAGCAAATTCGTTAACAGAATCCAAAAATATATTCCAAAAATTACTGTTTTCTGGAACTGCAAATAAAGCAGTGTATTTATTGAATAATATATTTGCTTTTTGCCTAATTTTATGCGCTTTTGCTTCAAAATCTGCTTTTTCTTCGGTTGATAATTTCCATTCGGCCAAATTTCCTACGTATTGACGAAGCTAAAAAAAAATTTAAGGTAGTAATTATTAGTATTCACGTGTTCAAATTATTTTTAAAGATTATTAAACATAAAAAAAAAAAAAAAAAATACCTTTTTTGTAGTATCCACAACCTGAGGATGTTTTTTTAACATAAGTGGATCTAATGGCATATTGATTAATTCATCCATCAATGATAAAGCTTTGTCTACATCAACTTTGGCTTTTTGTAGACTTGTTTTTATTAATACATCTATATCAACCAATCGGGTTTCTAATTTTAACCACCTAACAAAAAGAATGAGTTAATTAAAAAAGAATTAAAATTAATAAGAGATTAATTAATAAATAAAAATTAAAATACCTTAATTTACCACGTTTCCTTTCAATTATTCTTAGCTTTTTAATTTTATTTAATTGCTCCTCAGTCATTTTAGCTTTTTCTTCTTCTGTGGGCCTCAATTGTAATTTGATATCATCTCTTGATATTTCACCAGATTCTATTTCTGCTTTGAGTCTTTTCGCATTTATATCTGTTGCTCTTTCCCACATTAATCGTGATCTGTCGTCCTATTAATAAATTAATTATATTTATTAAATAAAAAAGTTAAATTTTCCAATGTTTATACATACCTTAAATTGAGCTGGTCTATCATAATCTAATTTGATTTGTACCATTTGTCCACATTTGGTTTTTGCCCACATTATTCTACCCATTTCTCTATTTCTAGGAGAGGAAGCTGTCTTTACAGGAGATTTGCTCAATTCTAAAAATACATTAATAAAGAAAATTATCTTTTCAAACCACAAGTTAAAATCGTTAAATTTTCATTAAAATCCCAATCCCTGTAAAATCCTATTTAAAAAAAAACATGAATTGCACATAAAGAAGAAAACGAATAAATAATAATTATTTTAATTACACACGTTTTGCAAAAGAATAATTTTAAAAAAAATTTTTAGTAAAAATTATTAATATAAAATTATTGGCATACCCTTTGGCGATGGTTTTTTAATAGTATTTTCCTTTTTTATTTCTGGAGGTGCTGCTGGAGGTGAAGATATTTGAGTTGGAGGAGGCGAAGAAAATGTCGGCATTTTTGGTTTTGCTTTTGAATCTGCATCTTCTCCATCTTCATCATACAAAAACTTTTTAGGTTTGATTATTCGACCTGACCGACTTATCTACAATAGAAAATTCCATTAAATAAAATATAATAAGTATTCTACTAAACTTTATTTACTTATTATTCTATTTTAAATTAACAAAACAATTACAAAGTTAAATAAAACAATTACAAAGAGCTTATACCTTCAAATATATTACATTTATTTTAAATATGATATTAAAACATTTTTATACTAAAAAAAAATTTTTTTAAATATTTATATTACCTGTTCAAGTTTACCAGGAGTTTCAACATTGCTAGTTTCTTCTTTTTCATGTGATATTATTCGTCTTTTCTTTGAATCTATATCTCCTTCAGTATCTTCTGTATCTCTTTTTCGTTTCGACTGTTTCGATTTTGCACCCTGAATTAAAAATGAAATTAATTAATTAATTAGTTTAAAATTAAACATTAAGAAATTATGTATTTTAAGCTAATATGTACTTACTTGTGTATCATCTTCTTTTATTTCTTGTATGCTATCTTCACTTTTCTTTGCTTTTTTTATATTTCGCTTGACGATTAACTCAGGAGGATCCCCTAAAATAGAACATTCGAAAGGTATTATTTAATTTAAATTTGAATTAATTAACCCTTGAGATACTATATCTGTAAAATATGAAGTCGTGATAAATAACCTGAGGTCCACAACCCTAATGTAGATTCTTCTCCGTTTTCAATTTTTTTTATTTCCCTTTCGATTTCTTCTAAACCTTCTTTAAAAAATTTTCTTTTTACAGACTTTCCCAATTTTTCTTTATTTTCTGCAAAGGGGCAAATATCTTTGGCCAAAACGGCAGCACTAAAATGATAATAAATTTTAGAGTATTACTTAAAACGCACGTAAACTTTTATTTAAACAACTCTTATAAAAAGTTGCATTAATTAATAATTTGATAAAAGGTAATGTTTCTTTTATACAAAGAGATGTAAAAAAAATGTACAACTAACGTTTCTGCAGTTCCAAAAAAGTATACATTATATTTTAAATTAGCAGGTCTGGCATCAGCTACTGAAGATATTCTGGCAGGCCAAGCTGGATAACCTCTGACTTTGGCAAATACCATGTCTCCAACATTAAATGTTATTTTATCTTTTCCCATTTTAAAGACTAAAATAAATAATTTAAAATTTTATATTTTAATTAAACACATATATGTAAAATTTCTTTGTTTAATACACAAAGTTGTTATCCATGTTTGATTAATTTTTTGTCCGTTGAAAATGCAATGGCGAATTTAACATTTACTACAACACTTGAAATGAACAACAATAAAAAAATTAAAATTTACACATTTTTAATAGACAAGAAACAATAGAATAAAATAAATAGAATCGAACAAAGCTAATTGAATAATATGGTAATAGAGATAGGATTGTAAAATTTAAGAATCAATAACCGAACCCCTAGATGTGAATTGTTTATATATTAGGCGCTTTTTAGTTAAAAATTTTAAATTACCTTTTATTTTTGCAGAGGTTTGTACTTTCACTGGTGTTAATTAAAATTTGTACTTTACCAGGTTATCGAAATCAAACTCTGTTTTAATTCATATTAATAAATAATTAACAATGTAATAAATGATTTTGGCGTTGAAAATTTTTGGACACACTTAAACACATCGGCTTAATAATTACTCTGACATGTTAGACTCGTTGTAGAAACATAAAATTGGCGGGAGAGTCGTAGATACTTAGAAAAAAATTATTTTAACTACACACTATAATAAACCATTATAAAAAAAAAAAAAAAAAAAAAAAAAATTTATTAATATTGATTTGAAAATTATTTATCAATTTAAATGAATTTGTAATAATAAAAATTATTGATAAATACAACTGCTTTGCATTAAATACAATAATATCAACCAGAAAATGTAATTATTAAAAATTTGATAGGTATTATTAATAAAATATTCAAGTCTTTCAATACTTAAAAAAAATGGACCATGTTTTAAATTATTAAAAAGTAAATTTTTAAAAAAGAATAAAATATATTTGTAGAAACATTAATTATAATTTTTTACAATTAATAATAAATGGCATAATTTTAAATAAAAAGAGAGAGCAACAATTAAAAATTGTTTTTAAAAGTAATAATAATAATTTTTTTTTTCTTTTTTTTTTAACTAAGAGAGAGAGAGAAAAAAACAATAATAATTAAATTATTTATAAATCAAGAAATAGAAAGTAACAATATTTATTTTAAATAATAAACAATTTTTTTTTTATATCAATTATTATTTACACATAAACACAAAAAAAAAAAAACAAATTTAAAAAAAATTAGAGAAAAGTCCATGTGGAGTAATGTTCATATTAAAGCATTCCCTTTTAATTCTTAAAATAAATGAAAAAAAAAAAAAAAATATAAAATATATTTTTTTATAAATATATATATATATATATCCTTTTTACTTAATACAAATAATAATAATAATAATAATAATAAAAGCGATTTTAATAAAAATTAATAAATTTATTTTTTTTTTTATTATAAAAGTACAATTTGTTACTTTTTATCAAATTGTAAAATGGTAAAAATAAAATAACAGAAAGTTAAATTATGAGAAAAACCCTTTTTGTAAATTATTTTATATATATATATATATAGACAAACTGAAATGTAGTTTTTTTTTTTTTTACTGAAATTGAAAACTTATTCAATAAGTCTATAAAGTCTAGTCTCCTGATTCTTTAAAAAAAAAAAAAAAAAATTAAATAAATTAATAAAAAAAAATAAAAGGAGGAGGAGGAGGAGGCATGGGTAATTTGAGCACGAGACTAGACACATTAATTAAACCGTAGAATTTTGCAAGGCTTTTGTGCACCGGCTCTTGCTAATTTTTTTTTTCCAATTATTTTTTTATTTTTCTTTTGAGCTTT